TTACAGTTGCAGCAGTTATTCTGAAAATACACATTAAATTTTGGGACGCTAAGAGAAGATTGAGCAAATAAGTTCCAAAAAGTGGAAAGAAATGGAAATTTGCCCGCTGCAGTATCCACAGGTCTTTCGGCAGAGTCTGAATGCAAACACTGCATGTTCACATGTGAATCCACCACGCGCCCATTGGCCTTGTTTTGCAGCAAAAGCTTCACAAAAGGCTGCTCCATGTCGGTCAAAGCATTGCAAAGATTCTTTTCTTATGAGAAGTTCCTCAGCATCTCTCATGTATAGATCGGCAGCAACTGGACGATCTAAATCAATGTATATAATCACGATTATAAACACTCAACTTTTTCTCATTTTTCCATTCGGAAATGGTCCAATAATTTTGTTTCCACATACTAATTTGAGAAGTACAGTTGGTTTTTTAAAATGAGCTAAAGCGCTATAAAGCAAAATTTCCGGGCATTCTCGCCCTTCGTATTTTTTTCGCAGTGGAGGATTGATTGACTGAGAAGCTGATTGTGGTAATAACTGACGAGCGTGCCTTGCTAATTGATATGGTCTGCTGAAAAAAAAACAACTGCGAACCAAAAGGTTTCCTCCTTCCTCACCCCCTCCTACAAGCAAAAAAAATTAACAACTGCATCATCTTCAATTCAAGGGATTGTTTACTTATCCAATAAGCAATTTATTGTATTTGTTTTTCATAGATCCAAAAATGTCTACCGTTGCGGTTTGAAATAGTGTCTATGCCTAGTTCACTTGGAAGACAAGTGGAGTAGTACTCTTAATGTCATAATGCTTGCTACGAAGATAAATGTGAAAAAGAGGAATAACAGGATGCATGCTACTAATTGCATGGTTTGTGGAATATAAGATTGCAACTAAAAGTAAGAAAACAAAATAGCACCACTGAAGTACTCGAAATTATCAAAATGCTGAAAAATGAAGCATAGCCAAAAGTTTGGTATTATTTTTGCAGTGTTCTGCTGGTGAACCGTTCAAAGCTTTATTGTGCACATGTTTTTTTTCCAATCCTAGAATTTCTAAGGTTTTCTGACGACGTCACTATTTTTTAAACAAAATGTAAATTTGGTATGAAGTACAACTAGTTCTAATAATTCACAATTTGGAAGGCTAGTTATTGTTCTTCGTAGTGCTCCAGGTTCATCTCGGCCTTTGAAAGTGATACGCGCATTGGATAACCAAACAATCACTTTTTTCTTTATATCAGCAAGGATGTTTGGAAATGGAAACTTTCTTGAAGGTAGCACATAAGACTCATTTTGATTAATCAAATCAGAAATCTGTGAATGAGAATTTTCGAAATAAAGATTCTAAGTGTAGATCCTCTGCCATAGCTCTCATTAGGCTAACTTAGGCATACTCAAGAGCAATAAATGCGTTCGATTTGAGGCGAAATCACATTGATGAAAGTGTGGAAGATATGTGTATTATTCAAGGGATTACCTTTAGCGGTGAATAGGTTCTCATTGAAGTGACATGAATGGCAACATTGAATAAAACTGAAGTCTGGATTTGTCCTGCACTGTCGAGTGAACTTCTTATGGTTTCTGTTATACAGCGCCCTACACACTCCTGGTAGGAGAGTATCAACACAGCAGGGCGTTTTTGTAGCCTTTGAGAGGTTCCTTTCTGCTCTGTTTATCCCT